ACTCTTGACTTTTCATTATTTTATATGACACGTGCAATTTATCAGGTAAAACGTTTATAATATGATTAGTTACTGTTTCAAAAAAGTTCTAGATCTAATGATGTTTTGTGGTGTATGTAATAAAGTTCAAAAGTGTCTGACGCAAGAATTGGTTAACTCCGGTATTTACGCCGCAGAAATCAGAAAAAATAGAAGGAATGAAGGTATTTGCATCAGTACCTCTGTTTAATGCCTTTATGCCTTTATTAGTAGTGTGTTGTTATTTCAATTCTTTAGGGCCCGGACACACACTTTTGCACAACGCATAATGCGTAAGCATAAGAAAATTGATTGGTCTATTTTCTTATGCACTTGTACATGGACTAATCAGTTTTGTTATGCTTACGCATTATGCGTTGTGCAGAAGTGTGTGCTCCCCGCTTTACTGTTAACATTAACGAAACCGCGTCGTGAGTTAAATCGATTTCTCAATGTATAAGTTTTAAGGCCGCGTTCGGGAAGGAATACGAAAGTACTTTTTTGTGGCTGTGCATGCAAGTTTCGTAAATAGTATTGGGTTTTAATTTCTTTAGTTTCAGGGAAATTGTGGGGAATACTATTTGTACTTTCAAAAATTTAATCGCAGAAAATTCTGTTATACCATAATTATTATTATGCACGTTTATTTAACATTTATTCTACTTGGAAGATATTCCATACATGTGTTTTATAACTTTCAGAGTTTCTACAATTTATGTGGTCATCGTTCGTAAGATATTTAAATATGCCGTGGAAGTTTTGAGTACCTGAAATATCAAAATGGCTAGTTTTTTTTGCTAACAATAAATGTACAACAAAGTATTACATTGTTGACATTTGCTTCGATACGGTATATTGTATCAAATCAAGTCGTGAAGTCATTAGACAATTATTATAACAATTAATTTATGAACGATAAGAAAGTAAATTTTATCAAAATTTTATTCGACGTCAATAACTATAACTGTAGTATGTGTGTTACTTACGTCACCAAAGGTTGCTATGGATAACAGAAATAATTTTCCCGCAGTTATCTTGATAGTGTGACTCGATTGCATGATTATCAAAATGAGACCGAGCGCTGTTTTATGAGGCAGTTTATACCAATTAGTCATATATGTTATGTCTCCAATTTTTTCACACTAATAAATAAAAATATTTAAAAATTTGTTTAAGTATCTGAACGTCTAATGTCGACGGTAAAAAGTTATCGTAGGATATAATTAATCAGATTTATTTGGTTGATTCGTATATTACTGTAGTTACAGTTCAATGGCTAGTGTGAGTCTGTGGTGCGGGGTGCGGTTGTACATGCGATAAATTAAATTATATAGCACAAATATTTACACTGTTACTTCGATTTCTGTTATTTCGATCTCTAGTTAGATCTTCAGTTGGTAACTAACGAGGATTTCAGTAGAGATCGATACTGGTTCCAGAAAGAATCGCAATAATAGTATAATTGCTTGTACTATGTATGTAACTTAATATTAACAAATATTCTGATATGTTAATACAAGTATTTTATTTGTTTAAAAATATAATAATAAGATATTAATAATGAAACATTCAATATTTTCATATTTATTTAACGAAGCGACATTGTATTATATTTTATATATAACCAAAATGAATGAATTTTTACACGTTTAAAAAATCTTTTTTATTACCTCTTCCGTGAGGATTTCACCGATGTAACAAATTATAAATAAATTTGTGATCGTTGACATGTATGTTATAAAATTTGCTAATATTTTTGCCTTATTGAACGCACTCCAGTTCTGAAAAATAAATTGCTATCTTTATTTACTGCAAGAAAATATGGTAATCTGTTTTTGCGGCATTTCAATTATCATATCTGCGAGAGGAAGTTTTATTTATTTTTAGCCTACCATAACAAGGAAATATCCAAGGAAACACATATTTATCGTGCATCCCATCAATATTGATAGACAGGCTTTATGCATAATACTCTCTATTTGTTGTACAAAACTGAAACATATATCTGCAGTTACAACACATCAAGCATGATGGTACGTTTCTTTTGCAATCTTTGTTTTACACGATCTACGATTTGTTAGTATTCAGAATAATATTTTTTTTACAATCTTTGTGTAGTAATATGAAGGACAGTTAAATAATAGGAATATCTGTGTATATGTGTGTGTATCCATCAGCAATCTGGGGGCCGGTTGTTCCAACCTATTGGTAAATTAACTAATAATTAAATCATATGTCTATCTTTGTTTAATTTGAAGGAAAAACGAAGACATATATGATTAACTGTTAGTTAGTTTACCAATAGGTTGAAACAACCGGCTCTGGGTCTTTTAAGGCACAAGCGAAATGTGTTTCTTGAATTTCTTGGAGAGAAGGAAGCAGCGACTGCAGGTATCCCCTGCTAAGAAATATTTATAGTAGAGGGGTTTTGCTGCGGCGGTGCTGGTTCCCGTCAATGCGTGTTCGAGCATCGCGTAACGGTCCGGGAAAGTTAGGCCTGTGCCCTGAATGACTCAGATTGCTGACGGCATTGATATTTATCGTCGTAAATAAATGTTTTCTTTTTCGTTTTTTTTGCTATATTTTCAAGTGTTTGCTAATTAAAGCACTTCTATTATTAGTAGAGCATTATTTATAAAATGGCGGAGAGAAACGCCGAATAATACGATACTTTTTTACTTTTTATTTATAATTTTCTTTTATATTTGCAATGATATTTTATATAACTAACAATTTTTTACAGTAAATGTTTATTTCTAAGCAAAAGAAAGTTAAACTTTATTTTTCTCTGTATTTAATTAGTACACGAATAAAACTCTTTAAAATTTTACCATTTTTATTTGTTATAATAATTATACTTTTTGAAGTCGATCAAATAAGACTACATTCTTTTGTAAGATCATAGTCTGAGAAGTACAAAACCCTGCAATCATTTTTTAAAATATTCATTTGTTGCAAAGTTACAAATTTTTAAACAAATTTCCATTTTTTCCATATTTGTGTTCAAATTTTGCTTTATAAGCAAATGGTTTGGCTTTAATATTTGGCTTTAAAAGCTATTGTATATTGTAGTAGAGATATTGACAAGTAACTCAGAATTTTTTTATTTTTTTAAAGCTTAGAACATAAAAATAAAAAGAGTGGATTTAAAAGATCTCATTTACACTGGCAGTGTTAGTAAAAAATTGATTGCTGACGGAGGGATGTGCATACATATGTATCCATTATTCTTTGACGCGAGTTATATGTAGATCGTTTAAAATGAATTTAAATAGAATATTTGTATGGAAGTTCTTTTTTTCGCTTTCTCTCTCATGTATATACTTAAGTTTATAATATATATACTAGCTAAGGGGGTTGCCCGGGGCTTTGCTTGGGCGTCTTTTTTTTAAACGATTTTATATGTGTTATTACATTTGTGTGCTAGCTGATCTTTTATCCACCAATGTATGATTCATAAACACATATTTTTAATAGCTTTCTACGTCACCCATGAGGTACTATTATTAACGCGTTTTTTAGTGGTGTCCCCAGTAGCTCTAATCTACTAATCGTTTCGACCCTTTGAAATAAAGATAATTTAAGTCGACTTTTGGGACCTTTTACAGGCTGCGCGCGAACCAACGAAGTAAAGAGATTAGCACTAGGCGGAGCCAACTAAAAATCTACCAAAAAGTGCATTTGTTATAGGACTTATAGGACTTCTGAATATCCTACTATATTTTTTGTTTTATTCCCCTTTGGTATCAAAATATATTGATTTTCAGCGTTTTCTATTCTAGATAAACCAACGTAAAGTTGTCCATGTGAAAAAAAACATTCTTTTCTTAAATCTATGCCCACATATTTGAAAGTTTGTCCCTGTGATTTATTAATCGTTAACGCAAAATAAACTTTAACGGGAAATTGTAGACGTTTGAAGGAAAATGGTAGGTCATTTGGGATCATCGGAATACGCGGTGGGATTTTACAATCGACTCAATGTCAAATCATCGATATTGACTTTGGGAGTCCAGACTATATGGTCCACATATGGACTTCGCATATGGACCTTTGATTGCGTATAGAGCTGGGTCCAAACAATCAAATCTTAAAGAATTATATATGAAATAGAGGTAGAAAAGACTGAAGAATATAATAGAATTATAAACAGCCCGATATCTCAAAATTGGCAGAAGTTAGAGCAACCACGGACATTTCTCAAAAAATTCAAAATTTTATAAATAAAGAATCCTTTTATCGATTATCGCCAAATTCAATACTAACCTTCTTTTAATGATACTCTATATAAAATTACATGTATAACTTATACACTTTTTAAGCAGAAATTGGGAACCCCTTCACCGATCCTCGCCAAATTTAAAACAACCTTCCTTTAATGATACTCTATCCACAAAAAAAATTTAGCCCAATATCTCAAAATTTACGGAAATTAGAGCAATCATGTAGATTTTTTTTAGATAGAAATTAGTAACCCTTTTATTATTAACAATTTTTTGAATTCTATTAAATACTTCAGTTTTTTCTATTTTATATATAATACTTTAAGATTTGGTTGATTAGAAAAATCTGAACAGGAAAAGTTATTAAGTACGACTATTTTAAAAAATTTAAAATTTTAAATATCTCGTATTCTTTTTTTCAAATTGGGTTGTAGCACAATGGCACACAGCTTATGTTACTCAGGAAGATATAAGCTATCTACCAGTGTAAAAATTTTTGAAATCGATTCAGTAGTTTCTAAGATTAACAATGGAACAAACAAACTTTTCCCCTTTATATAATAGCTTATAGTTGACAATATTTTAAAGTTAGCGTAAAATATTAGTTTGTGCAAAGCAATGTAATAGAAATGTTTATTTATTTTTAATACTTAAAAAGAAACTCGCACAAAGTGCAATCAAAACTTTATATCTAAGTAAAATACCTGAGGACTCTCCAATGATGTTTCACGACGGCTCCAAGTTTTCGTTCTGCTAAATGATTAGTTTTTTCCTCGGCGAGCTCGTTTAACCACGTATGCAGTACATTCAGTTGACCGCAAGCATGTGCCGCGAAGACGGTAGCGAGACTATAAACAGTTGCTATAGAAGAAGCCATTACAAACGTCGACAAGTATTGCACACCCAGCATGATCTCGTTTGCAGGGCTGAATCTCACATCAAGTATCCTGCTGTACATTGGACATGTCATCGGATGTATCGTAATAGTTTTGTTGCCGATGATAACGGTTGTTGTTTCCATCGCCTTGATCATGTTAAAGATGTACGTACTACCATGTATAAACGTCGCGGATAAGGCGGTCGTCCAGCGGCCGAACTTGGCATATTGCAGCATCACTTTGCGATTATCGATTCTCCGAACGAGTTTCCAATCTGTTTCCATGTGCCGTATGCAGCGTTGAACGTCTTTGTTACGCGTAAGTATTATCCAGTAAGATAAGGATCCTGAAATTCTGTTAAACAGCGGAACGATGGCGTGTAATTTAGTCTTAATGTCTTTTTTCTCGAACCCTATGTACAACATGCATGGTATCAGAATGATTGCCAACGCGGTCGAAAAAATGAAGATTTGCATTGACACCGCGAGTTTTTTCATTTTATTGTTTGATGCGCTCGTTTGTGGCCAGGCACCTAGTGATATGAGAAACCATCGAATTATTCGTGTACCGTAGTCATTGAGGTTTTCGTTATCTGTTATGTGTTTCGGATCGCTCATGATCGTTTCACAAAGGCGACCGATACGTTACTGCAATGATCATCTTAAGTTTTGCTCAGCTAT